TTAAAACTTATACCGGAAGTAGAAACAATGCTATTTAACCCTTTTACCACACCCCTTTAATTAGAAATGCCTAGGCTGAGTTGGACTTCTGCAGCCGCCAAAGCATCAGAGTGGAGCCAGGTCAATATTGCCGCTAAGGAGCTTTTTCCCTTAGTGGTAGCTATAGCCATCTGGGGGCCCCAGTGCAAGGACTCCCAAATATGCCTCAACTCGGACAACCAAGCAGTGGTGAGCACTCTCGCCACTCGCTCAGCAAAGGACCATTTTCTGTCCCACCTCTTACGCTCTCTCTTCTTCTTCCTAGCTCATTACAATATAAGCTACAGAGCTCAGCATATAGCAGGCAAACGCAATCGAGCAGCGGATGCCCTCTCCAGAAACAAACTTAATGAGTTTCTCTCTGTTTTCCCCCAGGCTCCCAAATCCCCCTCTCCAATCCCAGGCTCGCTGCTGTCAATGCTCCTCGACATCAAGCTACAGTGGACCTCCACACACTGGAAGGAGCTGTTCAGGGCTCTTTAGAAGGGGTCTAGCTGACAGCTCGGCCTCTTCATACGCCACAGCTCAGAGACCCTTTTTATCATTCTGTGCAGAATGTAACATCACTCCACTGCCACTTTCTGAGCACACTCTATGTCTGTTTGCTGCCTTTCTTGCAAATCAGGGGTTGCAGGCTAGGACCATCCAAGCCTACCTCTCAGCCCTAAGACATTTCCAGATCTCAGCTGGATTGCCAGCCCCTCCCCTCAGTTCTTGGCCCTGGCTCCACTACATTACAAGGGGCATCAGGAGATCCCAAGGCTCTTCACACAGGGTCAGACTCCCTATAACAGCCTCTATCATGAGAGACTTAATGATCAGATGGGCCCAGCCTGGGGGAGGCGGTCTCAAGAACCAGCTCTTCCAGGCCGTGGCTTGCACGGCCTTCTTTGGTTTCTTTCGCATGGGGGAGCTACTACCAGAGAAAGCAGGAGCCCCTCCCCCAATGCTTCTCTCAGACCTGTCCACTGACAGCCACTCCGCTCCTTCCATTTTTCAGCTCCTATGGAGACGATCTAAGACAGACCCTTTTGGAAAAGAGGTGAAAGTCACACTGAGTAGGTCTGGAAAAGAAATCTGCCCAGTGAAGACTATGTCCTCGTATCTAACAATTTGGCCACGGTCAAAAGGGCCTCTATTTATTTGGGAGGATGGGAACCCATTGCTAAAAGAGCAGTTTGTGGCAGGAGTCCGCAAAGCTCTGGCCGAGGGGGGCAAGAATCCTGACTGTTTCGCCGGTCACAGTTTCAGGATAGGTGCGGTCACAACAGCGGCAGCAGCTGGAGTCCTGGCTCACATTATTAAGAACCTCGGCAGATAGTCATCAGATGCTTACTTGCTATACGTTAGAGCAGACTCTGATCCAGCGATCTCAGGGGTAGCCACATCAATTGCAGATCACGCTGTTTGAGCCCAAGGACCTCTCACTCATGCTCTAGTCCTGTGTGACTCGTATGAGATGGGCTACTTATCATTAACAACAATTATCATCAATTTAGTGATAGTAATAACTTAAATATAGCATTCATTCAATATTTTCAATGTACGTTCACTAGACTATTAATTAAGGTACAACGGGCTGAACGCACAATTTAGTTTTCGGAACACAAATTGTTTCCTTTATACATTTTCTACAACATATAATTTTTTCAAATTTTTTCTCAATAGTGAGA